GTTTCTCCTCCGTTCCAGTGAATCTGATGGGAACCACAGCACCGATGACGAGGGGAGCCCCATGGACGACGGCCCTGACAAACCAGAGGAGGTTTCCAGTTCCACGGCCTCCATCATCTCTCTCTCTGCCGTCCCCTGCAGCGCCGGAGGCCAGCTCTTCCTCAACGGGTCCGGTGGCTTCCTCACAGCCTCTCAGCCGTTACTACTTAATGGAAATTCCATCCTCTCCAGTACTGGTGCTGGTGTCATAATTAACGGGCTAAGCTTGGGCGATTGCCAGACAGTCACACTGAGTCCTGTTGGATCCAACTCTCCTTTGATTCTGAACGGGGCTCAGGTAATAACCAAAACTAGTCTGCATCAGCAGCAAGCCGTTTCCATCACACCGCAGGAGGTTTTGTCCATGGAGGCCAAGCAGTGCAGTCTTCTTAGCACTAACACCTCACCGGTCTCCGTCATCTCTCTTCCCCTGCAAACCAAAACAGACAGCGGCAATGCAATGAATTTCATCAGCGTCCCTGAATCAGAGGGCAGCATCCAGACAGTATCTTCCTCTTCTTCATCTTTATCTCCTTCCTCACCAACTCTGTCCTCCCCCACCAGTCTCCCCTCACTAGTCTTAGCACAAATCCCCCAGCGCCACGAGTCTCTCCCGGTCTCCATGTCGTCCGCAGGCATGGTGATCTCCAGTTCTGCCCTGCCGTTCTCCAGTCAGCATGGGGAGTATGTTGTTTTTACCTCCGCTGGCTCCCACTTAAACCCTTCTAGCTCTTTGGTTTCCAGCAGCAGCTCCTCCCCTCAGGTCTTCTCTCTGCCCCAGGTCGTGCCTTCCATCCAGGGTATCCCAGTGTCCCAGCTGGTGCAGCACTCTTCAGGAGCCACAGTGTCCCAATGCCCTCAGTTAGTCCCAGTTTCCTCCCTCACCTCATCAGCTTCTCAGTTCCTAAACCACACAGTGAACACTAGCACCAGACTGCAACAGGATGCTTTAAGTACTCTGCCTGAAGGTGCCACCACTATAGTCTCTATCTCACAGCTTAACAATCAGCTCCAACAAAGCACAAACTCCTCTATGAGCAAAATCCAGGTCCCACAGCTTATATCCATTTCTTCCCCGACACAAGTAGTGCCCAAAGTCTCCACAGCAGCACAGTTAGTCCCCCTCTCCATGCCTCAGCTGGTCCCCGTCTCCCCCATTCAAACTTCCTCCTCCATCTCTTTCCCCCAAGTGGTTCCTGCCAGTCCTTCTCTGTCCATCCCCTCTGCTGGACTGCCCTTACAGATCCTGACCTCAGCTCATGGAGGGGTCGCTCAGGGGCCTCTTAGGATAAACCAGCTGAGGCCCCTACAGAATGTGGGTCACCAAACCAGCATGGCCCCGGGTGTGCAGCTCCTCAACTCTGGGATCATTCAGCTGCCCTCTGCTGCTCCAGGTACACTGAATTCATTAATACATGTAGCAACAGAGCACATAACAGTTAGCCAAACTACAAAAATGACTCAGCGATTTATTTATTTTAACAGTTTTTTTGAAAAAAGTCAAATCAACATTGGAAGAAAAGAAATCCCTGCTTTTAGGATTTTATGTCTTTCTGACAGATTGATATAAAACTGAATATGAGATTTGGAGATAAAACAGTTGAATAATGGAATAACCACTGCTGAATCAACCATTACAAAACAGCTAACTAATCGAACTAAAGTATTCTCAAATTGTGGCATGATGTATAGAGTATGTTTAAAAACAATGGGCTATTTTATCTATATGACTGTAAGATAATGCACTCAGGAAACAATCTGAAAAATATCTTCTGACCCAAAACAGTATGAATGATAAATAACCAAGACTTACAGAATATTTCCTAAGGTGCTTAACTGATGCGTTGCTTTTTTGGATGTTGTTACTCTGTCCTTATTGCTGTCATTTCATCCTTCCTCACCACCACAGGTAACCTTCTGCTCGGTGGGAGCCCTTACCTGAGTGTCCACGAAGGCAAACTAATCCTGACCATCCCAGCCGGCATCCAGCTCACCAGCCTGCCACTGAAACCGGTCCCGGAGGCGTCACCCATCTATGCAAATGGCCTGAGTCAACTTCTCACCCCCTCCACCCCTCATGTAGTCTCTTCCACCTCAGGCCCGACCCACTTTACATCATCCACCCTAAACTTCATCAACTCTTCTCCACCGTACTGTGCTCCAGAGATGGGGACACCCTCCATCCCGGCTTTAGATCATACAGTCACCTCTACAGCTCCAAACACTCTCACTCCAGAGAGTATGCTTACCCTCAGTCCCATGTACAGTGGGGGGACACCCAACATCCAGCTGTCCCAGCCCGCCTGGAGCCCCATGCCCCTCTCCACGTCAGCTAGTCTAACTCTGTTTGATGTCCGCGGAAAGGGGGACCTACATGTAGACCCGGCTCTGTTGGGGCTTCCTGGAGGAGAGTCGCTGCTCCTGGGAAGCCCCTCGTCGGAGCAGGATGTGGAAACCAGCTCTGCTCTGGGGGATCCAGAGGAGATGGACGGGGACACCAAGATACTCACTCAGCTGCAGTCCGTCCCTGTGGATGATGACCTGGGCTTGTAGTCAGTTTACTCTGCTGGTCGCAACCCAGTGTCTCAAAAAGAACAAAAACTATAAAACATACAGCAGATAGAAGAATATGCCAAATGTTATTTTAAAATGTTCAGGTACTGACGGTACCGCGATGACGCTCTCACAGGGGCCTGATACCAACATGGACTTAGCTGGCACTTTTGAGATTAATCCTCTGCAGCTCTACTTCCTCGATGGGCAGGCTTATATGGAATGTTCTCGTGCGTCTCGATTATTTTTACAACAATCCACATGTGCCTTATCTGTTATCAGACGCAGACAGAAGAACATATACATGTTAGTCTGCGTGCCCAGGTACACGTCCTGGTGTTAAAAACGAAAAGACAATTTTATGCAAGGCGTTGCGGCTTAGCCTTTTTTCTCAGCTCTTCTTCACACTCAGAGTTCAGCTGTACTTGGAAAAGATGGATTTTGCTGGCAGTATAAGTAGTTTGTTGTGGATCCAACACAGCAACTATACATGGACAATCTGACAAAGAGATTCAGGGCTTATTCTTCCAACACTCCAGGAATATAGAATATTCCTCACAAAAAGGAACTTAAATAAGTTTTTGTGCCACCATTGTGCTTCGATGGGGCTATACAGCAGTATTTTATATTACAAGTGACTGAGTCCGGGCTGAAACATGCTGTCTAACTGCATTTTATCAGTCAAATCTGTTTTAAATCATGTTCTGCAGTTTTTCAGTGAGAATGCCCTCCATTAGTAAAGCAATAACATGGAAAATAAAAGGGTCTATGCTCTATGCAATGCATGTTTAGTTTTTTATCAGATTGTATGTACCATAATGGCTCAGTTGAAAGCCAGTACACTTGGGAGATGAAAAAAAGCTTTTTGAATAATGTTTTTAAAGGAAGCATGACACTAAAGATTTGCTGTGATCCCTTAAATGCATCCAAATTCAGCTAGTTGATATTGATAAGTGCCTTATTTGATAACTTACAGGTTTGATGTTTTTGAAAAGATACGTTTTGACATTTAACAGTTTTTCAAGTGCTATACACCCGACCAAATTATGGGATTCACTTTATGACTTTTTTTGAATATCCACATAAGTGTCTGATCTCCAGTGAGAGTCAATGTGACAGTTTTGGTCTCATAGCTCGATCTCCTCTATTTGTATATTTTGCACCTTTCATTCACACCATGTTTACGCTGCGCTGCTGTGTTGTTATGACAGTGGCTGGACTCATTATGTTCTGAAATGCCCTTTTTAAAAATCAAAATATTATCCTCTTAAATGGACTTTAATACCACACCTCGATACTGATAAATACGCTAATCATCGTATTATACGAGCTTTCCACTTTCATAATAACACAGCTAGCGGCCAAACTCTTTGGCCAATTATGGTACACAGAATTCACTTCAGTGTCTCATCTAGTTACAATAAGGCCCTTTGTGTTGTATTTTCTATATGTATGTTTTTGTATGTATTTTTTGTACATTTTAATCTATTTAAAGCATGTATCAATCAGTAAGAAAGTGACTCCTTGTTGTAAAAACGCAGATAGGAAGTAATGCCCTTGGAAGGCCACATTGTTGTGCAATGGAGGTTTTACAATCTTAGACTATAGGTATGAAATCAATTTGAGGGACATTTTTAAATACACTAGGTCAACCCCTGTTAATAAATGTAAAGGTATTTTGTTCCCAGTGACCTTTTGAGGTAGATTATCAAATGGCTTGGACAAATCAATTTTATTATGCATTTTACTGAAATTTAGGGGTAAAGGGAATTGTGTCTTATATGTAAAATATGGTAGCCTGCGTTTGCTATGAGCCATTTATTACCAAAGTTTGTAAAGATTGAAGCCTTTGTGGGCTTACGCACATTTGTACCCGTTTGTTTGAAGCCTGGGCATGTTTTTATCGTCTCCTACATGACACATGACTCCAGATATAACCAAAGATAACATGTTATGATAGTTGTGAAAGGGATTTTTTGTGTCAGGCTTTCAAGGTTCTTGTTTTTGTATTAAAATGCATTCTATTTTTTATATTACATTATATTGTAATAAACTACATTTACAAAAAAAGGTTCAGCTTTTATTATTGTGTGTGTGCTGGAAACTGAATTATTGTCGGCTTAAACTATTCGTCTGAGGATTTTGCTTCTAATTTGGCAGGAAAATGTTATTCAAATGAGTGTTTTGTCTGCATGGCAGAACCACTCTAGTCTGTGGGTGAATGCCAGAACAAAAGCAAATCCAAAGTGTGTGTGAGGCTGTGCATGCTTGTGTTTGTTCAAGAGAAGGAGGAGTGCATGGTTTGTTGTTACAGCCCGGATCATCTCGGGTTTCCTGCGATTCGGTTCTGCCGGGACATGATGAGAAATGATAAACACACATTCACTCTTTCATCAACGAACTTTAGAGGTTGTTAGAAGACATCCTCACACATCCTTTTGTTCTACTCACAGACTTTTGGGACCAGTTTCCACTGCAATGATTTTCACAGCAGAGCAGGTTGCATGTGTGTGCGAGGTCCTCCTGCAGAGCGGTTGCATGGATCGTCTTGCTGGCTTTCTTCGTACTCTTCCTCCTCCTTCCCTCTCCTCCTCATTCTCCTCCTTCTGCCCTGGGGAGCTGGAGAGTGTGCTGAAGGCTAAAGCTGCAGTGGCGTTTCACCAGGGCAGCTTCACTGACCTCTACACCCTGCTGGAGGGCTTCCCCTTTTCCCCATGCAGCCACGCGCTCCTGCAGCAGCTCTGGCTCAGAGCCCACTACATGGAGGCCGAGAGGCAGAGGGGCCGACCCCTGGGGGCAGTGGGGAAGTATCGCGTCAGGAGGAAGTTCCCTCTACCACACACCATCTGGGACGGAGAGGAGACCAGCTACTGTTTTAAGGTATTCTTCATGTGTGCCCCAACTTTTAATTTAGCTTTCTACTGGTGCTACATTGTAAGACACATTAATGAATTCTGACTAGCTGTGAAACTAACAACAGTTTGGATAGGTAACTTATTTACTCCAGTACTGTGCCTACTGTCAGCACAGTTTTGCAGTACTTATACCTAAAGTATGCTCCATATCATCCAACTAACTATAAGTAGCTTATACAAATAATATTGTTTATAACATTTTGTTAATTAAAATATATTTTAGTGGTGATACTTCACTTTTGCAGGACTTAAACTGTAATGTGTTTTCATACTTTAGTGGAGCTATTTTACCTTTATCTGAGCACCAATCTGACTAACTCTTCCAAAAGTATAGGGAAGTTACTGTACGGTGGTTAAAATGGTTAAAAGGTCCAACGTGAAACATGTTTAACTGGCTACCATTCAACTTTACTAAACACATTTTCATGAGCAAGTGTTGAATGGAAAACTTAGAAAGTCATGTCATTTAAAAAGGTTTTCTTTAGTGTTTAAGTGATAGGCTACATTTGCTAACATCTAAACTTCAGATGTAGTCTACCTGTCACGGCTAGGCAAACCAGTATGAACCCAAAAGCACGACTCGACAAAAAAAATACAAAAGAAAGTCTTTACTGAAAAAATGGCACCATGAGCTCTCCGTATAGGTAACAGGGTAAGGTAACAAAAAACACTCTTACGAGGAAAAGGTTAACAAAGTAGTTCCAAAAATGCCAAAACTCGGTTCTTAGCTCTTAGCAGAAAGACATGGACTTCACACTGGCTGTCTGGCACATGGGACGAAATGAACTGGCAACAAGACAAGGGGGACAGAATCTATATATAGGCAGGCTAAGGAGGCACAGTTGCAGACAATTAGGGCGGAGTCCACTCCACAGTGGAGGGAAAACACTGAAGTGAGGTAATCTGCAACAAGAAGGAAAGGTTACTACAAAATCAAACAGGATACAAGACTGAACTAAATACATGAACATAACAGATTTTACGAGACACAACACTACCTAGCTGGGCTGATCTCTGGTTTTAAAAGAGCCATCCCAATTGTTTGTATGTCTTTGTGTTTGAAATATGTTATTGTTTTATTATTATTAAATATGTCCAGGCTTCACTTTATTTGTTTAACATACTTACAGGAGAAATCACGGGGTATACTCCGTCAGTGGTACCGCTATAAACCCTATCCCTCTACCCGGGAGAAGCGGCAGCTGGCAGCGGCCACCGGCCTGACCACCACCCAGGTCAGCAACTGGTTCAAAAACCGCAGGCAGAGGGACCGGGCCCCGGACCTGCAGGGGTCAGTGACGGTGCAGCAGTTGTCTATAGTTTGAATATTTAAAGGTCTTGTGTACAGAAGCCCATATCTGCCATTGTAATAGGAAATAAATCCTGCAAACTATTCTCAAAAAAAGTTAATTAGTGGCCTGGTAGACCTAAATCAGCATTTAGTTCTGATTTGACCTGTAGTGCTTTTTATTAGATTGGTGTGAGTTGCTCCAAATGCATCTAATGAGTAATGTCTCTTTCAATAAATTATGACACTATTACTCACATAATGCCCACCTTGTTTTTAGCAGTTTTTGATCTGAGGTATTTTAACACTCAGCAGCTGAAACCTTAATAATCTAGATTGAAAAAATGTGGTTAAATGTCAATTTTAAACAATCTGAGATAATGTAAAAACTGAACAATCTGTAACTTTCTGTAGAAAACATTGAGTATCTTTTTACAAAGAACAACAGTGTCCCCTTGTGGTTCAATTAAGACATGATGCATCATCAACATGTGATCTGATTTTGATTCTCTTCATCTCTTGACTCAGTTTTCAAATATCTTGCTCTGGAGGGACCTCAGGAGAAGGGGACCCTTCCTCTGACAACGACTGTTCACCTCCAGGGAGCCCACTACCCCTACACCATCGCCCCCCTCCTCCTCCCCTCTCTCACCCACCACCTCCTCTACGTCACATATGTGGAGGCCTCCACTGAGTCTGCCATTCAAGTGTTTCATTTTTGTTTTTTTATAACTATAACTTAACAGTTTGCTTCGACTGAAATGTAAATTCTATTTTCTGGTGTCCATAAAACAAATACTTAGCAAGTAAAGTTTGTTACCAAAACATGACTTAGCAGACGTTATTCTTTAACATCATAGATGAAAGATAAGAAGGGATGCTACTGGAAAAATGTCCCCATGTACTACTTACACAAACAGCATTTTCCCATGTTCTTTTAAATTCATATAATCGCATCAAGGTCTAAGACAAATCTTCCAAATCATTAGAGCTTTATTTGCAGACCACACCTTGTACATGGTGTAAGTATACATTTGCTGGATCTTGTTCACTGTAATAACACCTTCACACATTCGCTGTATAGCCACATAATATAGCATTTAATAACAGCAGGTCGTAAGGCGAAGAGGATCCTCAGGTAAGTGGAGGTAAATAATTATTCACAGACATGAAACAGTGTACTCATCTCAATCGCATTAACAGGGCAATTATTTTTAAAGGTATACTATGCAGGAATTGTTGTTTGTTGTTTCTAAACACATCTTTCAAAGCCGGTGCCTCCTCCCCAACTCAACAAAAGAGAGAGTAAGCGATGTTTGCAGGAAGCAAGGAATCTGAGGAAGAATTGGTCACTTCTGATTTTTGCAGATTTAGGCTACAAATAAACATAACAACTTCTCCGCACAACCTAGATTGCTGAATTTTTGGTGAATGCAGTCAAAAAGCACCTTATATTCAGCTGCTGTGGCCTTTCTGCTCTGCATCCATGACACAGACACATAGCAGAGGAGAGAGCCGAATAGACACACTGCTATCGAGTCATAAGTGATGATTGCAACAGATTATTTTGTGAGGGTATATTCACATTTGTTAAAATGAAAATCCTGCATAGTATACCTTTAAGGGCATGATCTATTTTTTCACAGGAATGAAGAATAATTAAGATTCACAGATCAACTTTCCCAACTGTTCCTCCGGTACTATGATCCAACCACCTTTCAACATGTAGAATAAAGACTGTCTATACACATCACATCCCAGACATCTGGACAGGAGTCGGTCTAGCCAGGCCAAGTCTTTGGTAAAGTTTTAGCTGGTATCCTGGTACACTGATAACACAACAGTTCAGTTCATTTCACCAGGTTCAGCTCTTGTGCATTTGGATCCATTTCATGCTGGTTATTTAGCAATTATTTGTCATCAGCGTGACAAACCGCACCAGTACTCCAGTGCGGCTATTGGTCAGGGTTTTGTGTTCAGAAACCCAGATATTCTGCCAGAAACACAGCCATGATCTTGGTCAGGTTCACCACAGTGGGGCGGTGCATGTTCTCCTCGGTGTCGTCCAGTGTGTGCCAGAACCGAGGGAAGGGAGTGGCGATGACGTGTAGCACAGGGACGCCTGTTTTTTGTGTGTGGAGAGGGAGAAAAGAGAGGGCTGATCAAAAAAAGGTTGTCTAGTCCTGCTTTCTTGAAATAAGAACTAACTCCAGAATTAAAACTAATGCTCTTACACTGACCAGAACAAATAAATTCAAGCATTTATTTTGTCTAGGCTTGACTACTTTTACTCCTTTCTTGCATTAACCAAAAGTCACTCTCTGGCCTCTAACTAGAGATGAAACAGTTACCGGTTTCACAATAATATTTCCAATGGTTAGTGTTACTGTTTCAAACTTCCACGTGAGTTTGTTTGAATGCTGTGACAGCGCTTCAGAGAATGTTCTGCCTTTGAAAAGGACAAAGTCTGAAGTGTGATCAAATTTAGCCTTTGTAAAAAGAAAAACCCCTAGATTTGCTTTTATATAATGTTGGATTTCCTAAATTGTATTATTCTAATATATAATCCTGTTTATTTACAATGTTTTATCATTATCTTTTATATGAATTTGTCTAGTCACTGCTATCTTTTGTGTTGATGTTTGAATGATTTCCCTTAGTTTGTTCAGCTTTTTTGATTCATGTTTTTATATCGCCTATGGTTATTCTACTACTTACTTACTTATTCCGTTATATACATATAGTTATTATTAATATAATGATCACTGACAGCATGTTATGAACATGTGTTATCACTGACCTTTGTGTAGGAAGGGGATGTGGTCGTCCTGCACAGGGCCGAGGTAAACATCCTTTCTGAAATACGTCTGCTCTGAGGGGTGAGAAGTCAAGAGACCCTGGCGATGGAGTCTCTTCTCTGAGAGCACAGGGGGTGAAGACAGAGTTAGGTCCTCCAACAGACTAGATTTGAAATATTCATAAGAATAATTACAGCCGATGCTTACCTGCACCGATCAGACGGTCGAACCAGCGAGCGGTGTTATCAAAGTGATTCACTATCAGAGGATCAGAACCACCGAGCAGGTCTAGAAGCACAAAGAGGTCCTAGAGAGGAAGATGCAAGTTAAAACAACTACTGAATCTTTAGTTCACTTACTTTTAAATCATTGTTCAGGAAATGTTGATGAACACATAAAATGCATACCCCGGCAATCGGTAAAGTTACAGTTTACATCCATTTCTTTCTAAAAGAACATAATCATTTTATCCAATTAGACATTTGTGTAAAATTATCATAATCCTCATAATAATTCTTGAAGAAAAGTGTTTTGAGAGGTCGCAATGACATTGACCTTTGACCTCCATAATCTAATCAGTTCATCGTTGGGGCTAAGTGGTCGTCTCTGACAAATTTGAGGAAAATTCCTTTAGACATTCCTGAGATACCAAGTTCACAAAAAAGGAAAAAAAGGGGGAAAAAAGGAATGCAAGTCTGAATGATCCTTGCAATTTAGTTTTAGTCAGTGGTTGCATACAGACACTGCTGCTATTGTCAAGTTTAAAATGGGCTCTGTTTAGGCAGTCTGCTAAATCCAGCCTGCTCATACATAATTGAGAGTGTGTCTGTGTCAGGATGTGAGTAAGACCCTGAAGGACGAGAGTGTCTGTTTCTCACCACAGCCTGGAGCATGGTGGTGTGTGTGGACCCTGCAGGGTGAGGCGTGTTGGCCATGCGCTCGGCCAGGTGACGGGACCCGTACAGCGAGTCTGTGGGCGTCCACTCTTCAAACGACTCCTCCCCATCGAAAAACACCAGCTGAAGGGACACTGGAAGTTTCTTGGAGAAAGAGGGAAGAAATACATTTAAATTGACTTTACAAATAGCAGCAACTGAAGCCAGTTTCTCTTCCTGCAGAGATGTCGCAGTGTGTATTCCTTTAGTAACTACATAAATCACAGCCTCTGGAGGCAGACTGCTATTTACAGATGACTGCTGCAAGCTGGAGTCAGCATTTTCTTATCCTGTACTGCAGGCACAGAGCCAGAGGGATACAATTAGAGTATAAAAGAAAAAGGAAAAATACAAGTCATTATTATCACCATCTACTTTTCTCTGTGTCAAATAATTTTTACAGTAAAATAGGAAAGCTAGTAATTTGTCAACATCTGCTCCAGCCTGTATCTATATCATGAGTGTAAACCATAGACTGTATATATGGTGTAAACACTGCACATTGCAGTGGTTGAATGTAACCAGGTAGATTAACTCATGTCATGTACTAAAATACAAAATCAAGATTACTTTTAAGATTACATTTTTTATCCTGTCCAGTGAAACCATGTATTTCCAGGTGTGTTCATTTTAACGTTTGTGATAAACTGAAGGATGGTTTGTTCGTTAATGAGTTAAAAAGATCATACTTCAGTATAAACTATTTAAAAAACCCTCTTTGATTAGCTGGAACATGTATTGTCACAAAGCTGAAATGATTCAATGTTTTTTCAGAGATGCACTCACAGGACAGAAACAGTCAAATAATATGATGATCTTGTGGAATATGATGCATTGTATCAGATTAAACTACCTCACATTATTTTTGTTGCGGAAATGTAAATGTTAATCACCAACAGAGGTCAAATGCAACTTACACATTCATGCAGCAGTAATATCCAGACACATCATAAATAATATCAAACACTTACAGGGAACATTTAATTGCAAAGTCATTACTTTTAAAAAGTCACATTTTGCTGATAAAACTTACATACGTTTACTTTATCGAGGTTTTGAAAGCAGTATCTTTACTTGCAGTGGAGTATTTTCACTGTGTGGTATTAGTATTTTTACTTAAACAAAATAGCAAATATACTGGACATCAACACACATGTAGCAAGACACAACTTTGCACACACCTGCTGTTTGAACGATGAAAGCTGGGCATCCAGAGCGGTGACGAGCTCCAGCATCATAGCACAGGGCACGGCCGAGTCACTGGCCCCCAGAAACACCTTCTCTGGGGCCCGGGGGTCTGGAGGCAGGGCCTTGGAGTCGTAGTGGCAGGCCAGGAGCAGCCTGCGAGGGGCCGAAGGATCCAGAGTGGCAACGATGTTGGTGAAGGGGACCTGGCCCCGGGGGGTCACGGACTGGAAGGAGTCCAAGTCCACGGCCCAGCCGGCAGACAGCGAGGACAGAGTGGAGGTGATGTGCTGAGCAGAGAGGGCGGGTTAGAGGCGAGTGAGGAAAATATGTAAAGAGTAGGAAACTATAAATATTTACACACCTGCTGCACAGCCAGGCTGCCCTGAGTCCCTGGGAGCCTCTCGATTAGGATGGGCCTCAGGTGGGTCTCCCACAGGCGGGTACCATCCACCTGAGAGGCCAGGCGGCGGATTTGAGCCGGAGAGCACTTGCTGGCTTTGTGGGACAACTGGATGGAAGGGAAATAATTAATTGAAAATAAATCAAGAAAAACAATGTAATCAAAAGGTAAGGCAGCAAAGTGTGATAGCAACACAGAGAATGAATAGTAAGAGTATGTCTTCTTTACGGCTTGTTGTGGTGAAGAGGAGGGGTTGTGCTCCAAATCTGACAAGAGCTTGGCAGCAACTTAAACATTTAAATGATCATTTCCTTCCACTATTTTCTGTACATTTGGCATCTCTGCACATCCTGAAAGAGGGATCTCTCCTCAGTTCCCCTATTATTGTCCTGATAAATATTGTTTATTTGTGCTGCATTTTCTACAATTTTGGGACTATGTAATTAGAAATTCTAATTTATCATAGTCCCAAATGTTCCTCAAAGGGCTTCTGTTAAGCTAAGTCAATTCTAATTTAGAATTGACTTAGCTTGGATGAAAAGTAGATAACATCCCATTTGAATGCAGCCAACA